ACGAGAAGTCAGCGAGGTTCTGAAAGTTTCGGATACAGTTATGGCCCGTCCACACTATAGCTTCAAAAAAAGCTTGGAGCTGGGCGTGTCTGAAGCTTGGGGATTTTATTCGAGCACCGCGACCAACAACCAATCACATGAATGTCCCACCCCCGGCATACAAAACAAAAAACCCCGGGGATTTTATGCGAGCAATATATATATATATATATATATAAACTCCCCAAACAGGCGAAAACCTACCAGTTTCACCCACTGTCTCTGCCACCTCCCTCCATGCCTGGTTCCTTCGGTTTGTATCCCAGTAAATAGTTCTGGTCGTAAAGAACCGGGTGATTTGCTACCGTCATTTCTCGTTTGGAATATGAGGAAATGAACTGCGGTCTGGCTCTCCCAGCTTGCACGCAGTTTGATTGGCTAGCGCTTGAACTGTCAGATTTGCATAAACGGGATTTGATTGGCTGACGCTGGCTACTCCGGTGTCTCCGGCTTCAAAAGTTGAACATTGCTCAACTTTTGCAGCCTGAAACGCCAGGAAAGCTCCGCTCTGCTACCCACAATTCAGTTCGGCGAAAAGCGAGGCAACGTGACGTCACCCCATTCAAAGTGAATGGGCAGACGCGTTGGAAACCGTTTTTGAAGCTGTTGAAGCTGTAGTGTGGACGGGCCGTTACAATGGCCCGAAACCATAGCCTGTATATATTAGCCCAATTAGCGGGTATGGTGATAACGAAATGATTCTTAATACATCTATCATCAATGCTAATGTCAGCGCTAGCTTGATAGCTAACATTATCAATACATGGTGTCATGTATATACACACGTCCCCGTAATTGTAACATACCGAACGAACACAGCACTATATTGGAAAGGGGTACAAACATGTATTGAGCAGAAACATTACATTTAATTAACTTATTTTTGGAGTCTCTCACAGAGGTTGGCTTTGTGTAACCAACTGATACTTTTCGCGGTTGTCGACACCTCTTCTTCTGTACTTTTTTTCGGCAGTTCCTGAGGACCAATCACAGCTCCGGACACCAGTTGAAAATATACTTCATTTCCGGTTCTAACCACACTCGATTACATTGATTAAAATGTTTCAATGAAATTACGTTCAGTCAAAGCGATTTAAATACGTAGATTTAACATTCTCAATAAATAAATGAAGTCTGCTTAATGAGATCACATTCAGAGACAAAACATGAACTAATTCCGTTGCATTTACTGTTTTTATTTGTGTAAATTCAAAGAAACCCTATGTCAATTTTTTTCAGTGTAGCGTCTTTCTGTTTGGAATGTGTCTCTCAAAGATGTATTCCTTGTTTTGCGTACTTCTGTACTTAAAGTTGAGTGCATATGGCAATATCAGTGTGTATTAGTACAAGTTGAGTGTGGATAACATTATAATATTTGATATCCTTGTTTTGTTCCACTAAGTACCGCTATACTGTTGTGGGATGAACGTTTTGGTTTGATTACTGTTAATTTAGCAATATGTAATAGGGAAACACCAATGTAACGGCCAATTGGGCTTATTCAGAGTTAATGTGAGGAAAGGCTGAAAAAAATGTGTACTTGTTTTCCGAAGAACATAAGCATTTGTATCTGGCTCTAGCTATATGGCGAATCTTGGCATTGTTTTGTTATCGGCTGAGAAATTTGACATTGGTGCATTTCTGGTTGGTAAAGATTTGGTTATTGAACAAACTCTGCTAGCTAGCTCGCCAACTGTCACAGTTATGCAGGCCTGTGCTGGACAAGACTCATTGTTCCAGTAAACTGAAGACACTCATTAATTATTTCTGACCACTGACTGACACTTTTAGTCGGTGGATGCTATCTGTCTGCTGTCTTTCTTTCGCCCTTTCAGTTTGTTACTTTCTGTTATTCTCTTTTTTTATATCCATCCAGCCCTGGGTTTGGATCTGTAGCGGTTTCTTTTATTAACCTTCGTACTGCCTAACTGCGGTATCTCTTTTTCACACAGTGTTTCACTCCCTCTATCTCTGCACATTAATAATACAGGGAGGACTGTTTGTGTGGTCTAATTCAATTGTACCTCTGTCATTGTTGCAGTGAATGGTATCTGGGAGGGCGGAGGACAGCTCTTTTACAAAGCAGGCCTTATCTCAAATTGCTCAGTGTTTGAGAACACAGACGACAGTCGAGAATGAGAATCGAACAGCTTGCCTTTATGCCAATGCTAAATGGGTGTAAATAAAAATGTTTCAACTCAAACACGACTTTGAAGTGCTATTGCTACCGTGTCAGAGCAATAAATAACCATTTTATTTTGTACATTTGTATTGCATTATGTTTTAAGGTGTTTTTAATATGTTTGTGTTAAGGTACTGTAAGACAAAAGGTGCAAAATTGGATACTGGCTGCTCCGTTAATAGAGCACATAAACAGGTTAGGTCATTACACGGCTTATTTTCAAGGACTTTCCTTTTCTGTCTATCTCTCTCGATGTCACGAGTATCAGTCCACCTGTGTGAGGTCCGATTAGTCCACTTATTTATTTTGTCCAAAACTGGTCCTGTGTTAATTGGTAAGTGCTGTGTTATTCCTGTCCTTTTCTGACAGCGTGACACAATAAGATCACAGCTATCCAACTAATTAAAGTCCCCTCACATCCTATGTCCTCTATGAACCTTTAATTGGCTTGAAAGGCTACAGGTAGGGAGAGAAGAGGAGAGTGGCTGACAGAGAGAGACAGCTTACAAACCTAGTAACCTATCGAAGAAATTGCCGCAATTGACTAAGAAAAATCGTATTTCTCTTACTTGTTTTTCTTCTTAAATATGTGTTTTCTCTTCATTTTTCCAAGCAAAATCTTGAAACTTGTCAGATATTGGCCTGAGGACCATTTGACATTCAAATATTGTGGGGGTTCCGATGTAGCCAAGACCCTATTTGCCATGGGCCTGTACTTTTTTTAAAAGGCAAAGTCCATGACCAGAGTTTTTCACAAGATGCCATTTCACACTCAGTTAATGGCTTATCTTTAGCCAATCGTTACTCAATTTGTTGTCGGACAGAGCCAATGTTGCTTGGTCTGAGATTACATTTTGACCTGCATGTAACCAAAACCCGCTCAAACATGATTGGTTAATGTGCTGCTGCCTAGCTCACTTGGTTGAGCAGCAGCCCATTAACATTCCCCTCTACAATCTACCTTTCTAATGATGACTAAACTGCCGACACATATCTTAAAGAACAAGAACAGGATTGGTCTGTTCCCAATTAATGTGGTGCATTAGGTGTGAAAGTGTGTGTGTAATGAAGTCCGCCATTGCGAGATTGAAATGGAGGATTAAGCCATGATTATGTTTGACCTTCAGAATGTTTTCATTGAAAGGTCAGACATCAGGTCTTTACTCCCCTGAGATAACTTCCCAGGTTGAGATGTACTTCTCCATTTGCTGGACTATCTCCGCTGTCTTCTTTCATGTTTGAGTTCAGATGCAACTTCCTTCATATCAACGACGGTCGTCACACGCTTCATCTTTAAACCAGACTGTCAAGCTTTTAACCAATCTTACACTTCCAGTATTCAATTGGAAACAGCCACTGCCTATTTCTTTTAATCAATTCTTATAAAACGGTAGTGCGTGGAAACAAGCATCAATCACAATTTTCTTCTGCAGATTTTTTACAATTTGTTGGAAACCTGACTTATGTCAATGGTTAAAGCCCTCTTTCCATTGGCATTTGTACATTAATGATTGTCATTAAACACAAACTCTATTGTCGTGTGTTCATTATTGATAACCCTTCTCTTCTGTTTTTTTCCTCCATTTTCTTCCAGATGAGGGCTACTACCAAAGTGGAAGGTTTCAGTTTGAAATAGACGTCCCAGAAGCCTATAACATGGTGGTAAGTGTTCCAATTATCTCTCATCATTTTGGAAAGGAATAGTCTGGGCTGTATTTTATGCATATATGCATTTGGCAGCAGCTTCCTGTGTTTGAATAGAAACTTCCAGGTTTGCTTTGCATGAAACATTCTCCAGCACAGTAGTGGTGCCCTAAACATCTAAATGTAATGTGAAATGTAAGCAAATGGCATTAATATCACATTTCCTTTCAATACAATTCATAAATGATATCAAAGTAGGCATTTTCTTATCTCTTCGTGGAAGGACTCCAAATAACCGCATTATTTTTTCTACCTGACCTTCAAGACTTGCGTGTTTTTTTCTGTTCTTCTATTCATTCTTGGCTTTATCTCACCGTGCCAGTGTGTGCCTGTGTGTGTGGGGGTATCTTTTGTTTGTGTCCGTATGTAACCCTGAACATGTATGTGTGCCTTGTATCTCAGTCTTTTGCCTGAGCCCTTCATCACACACAGTTTCTCTCTGTTCAGCCATCTGTGGCAGTTTTATGACACCTGCCACGGACTGATAAATAATAAACGTTAATTCATGAAAGCTTAATCGATTCATAATGTTGGCCCCAGGGGCCTCAAGTAAAGAATTACGCCACTGACTGACTTTGGGTAAGAGAATATGACTCGGATGGTTTCAGAAGCACTCTTTGTCAGTATATGACCTGTAATAAAGTAACTTTTAAAGCTGTGTGAGGGTTTAAATGGCCCAACAAGCACAACAAATCAGTCATCTGCCTGGTTTGAAGTCTTAGCTCACATTACAAATATCCATTCCTTGACTTTTCTAAACAGCGTGTCATTGATTTTCCTTCAGACTTACAGGCTTTAAGTTAGGTCTGTCAAGTAATTGGGTTTCTATCCATCAAATTAACCAACGTTTTTTTTAGTTTAACCGTTACACAGCACGGGAAGTGCCCAGAACTGATGGAATCCAATAATAGCAATGACTAATAATGACTCAGATATCATCTTAATTTAGAAGGGATCAACTGAACAATTAACATGGGCTGTAAATAATATCTGGATTTATTTGAGATTTGGAAAAGGGTGCCAAAGTGAATTGAATTTATTGAAATAGATTTTGCAGTACATTACAATACTTTTAGTGTGCAATACATTACGATCCTAGTTTGTACTGCAGCACGGTTTCATTAAATTACAGGTTGAGGGTGTATTTCAACCAAAGGAAACCACAAGATCGCAATAAAATGCATATGCATGTTGAGAAAAATCAAAACAACCTTTTTTCCCTTGCCTTTTCCTGAGGTCTGTCACTATTATTAACATCCTATGTACTTTTCATTATCCCTGACAGAGCTTCCCTGTAGTTAAAGGAAGTGAACATTTTCCGATTACATGATTATAGTCATTTCACACGGGCACCTTTCACTGTTAAAACATAGTTATAGAAATCTCAGCAGTCCAAAGAATGCATAAATATCTTTTCTGATTTGAAAATAGTCCATATGTTCATGTTATTCTAAATGTACAGATATTTTGATAACAGGTACGATGGCTTTATATCATCAAACTTTGAAAATGAGTTAATATAGAAACCTTGTGTGAATTCTTTTTTGCAACATACAAACTTACAAACAACAGAAAAAGCCCCAAAAGATAGTTGGATATGGAACATTTATTGCTGATACAATAGGCATAAAAGCCTTCATGTTGACCAACAAAAAATAGTAATCTATCTGGGAGCGCTGTTGTATTTGGCTTATCATAATTATCAACAAAAGGAGAAATTGATATTTTGTCTTGTTACATATTCTTTGCCATTTGTCTATCTGAGGGTGCCTTGCAGGTCGATACTAAACATGGGTTGATATTTTTAAATTGCATAAGCACATAATTGAAATGATCAATGAATTGTTTTTTAGAGCATTTGACTAATTATCCACGGAGAAATGGTAACTTTGGTCGTCACGATATTCCGCATGTTGGATGAATGAGAATCTTTTTTTCTATACTAAAAAGCAACATATTTATCTTTTTATGTCGAGTAGCTTACAAAAGTCAAAACATCTAGGTGTTAATTCTATAACTGGCAAAATACTACAAGCAAAATGCCCATGTACATATACTTACACGTCTATATACACTACTTACTAGCAGCAAAAGCATTTGTTTTAGCTCCATTTTCTCCTTTCTGTAAATACTTCTTTGTACAAAGATTATCTGACCCCCATAACAATTGTGTTTCTTCACGTTATTTCCAGCCTCCTAAAGTGAGATGTCTGACCAGAATATGGCATCCTAACATCACAGAGAACGGAGAGATCTGTTTGAGGTAATGCCTTGCTTCTATTATTTTATTCTATGCTACATTCGTCCTGCTAGGAAATTGATGGAAAAAGCAAATAAAAGATAGTATTCCCTTTGCTAGATATCCATTTCCCCTGCAGTCCCTGAAATTGGATGGACAAACCCTTAGAGACATTCAATAACATTCTCGCAAATGTTACCATTTTCTTTGTGATTTTATAAACGGTAGTCTTGGAGTTTTCTTGTCTGTACATTTGGCGATGGCACAACATTTCCTTGGTAATACTCACAAATGTTAAATGTCTGTGTTACTCTTTATTTCATTTCAGCTTATTGCGGGAGCACTCTATCGACGGCACAGGCTGGGCCCCCACTAGAACATTAAAGGTACATCATTTGCATTTCATTCAAAAAAGAAATTGTAACTTTCTTTCAGAAGAATCTTTAAGCTTAAGGAATTTTTTTATCTCGAAAAAGGAACGTTAATGTAGCATGAATTCATCTGTCTTTTTTAAGTTTTGGCTGAGGGAATGACGGGACTCGAGCACCTTTCAGACAGTGGGTGGAAAGAGGTGCTGCAGCACAGGCAGTATGAGAAAAATAAAGCACTTTTGGATCATTAAAGCGGCACAAAATACAAATGTGAACCTGAAAATGACCATAATAGGGCCCCTTAAATGTAAACATTAAGGTAAACATTAAAGGGGCCAAAATCAAAACCAATAGTCCCATTTGCTGGTAAAATACAAAGGAAATACAATGGAATCACAAGATTCTTAATAAACCTGTGTCTCTACAGGCTTTAGTTAAACAAACATGATCTCAAATCTGTGGTCTTGTAAAAGTGTTTAAAATGTGTCAAAATCAAGAAGAAGTCATGGAGCTATTGAACAGAGTTGTATTGTTAACAACCGTCTACATTCAGTGGGTCATTATACAAACACTTTAGAACTGATTGCAACAGACCTCAACATTTGGCTTTTTCTTTATCAAGCCCTGACACAATGGGGGTGTGAGAAATATTGCTAAGGGCTGTTGAAAGCACTATGGAATATCTTCAGGACACAACAAAAACATTTTGCGGAGCTGTGCAAGGTACATTTCCCAATGGAAGGTTTTTCAGCTGCATAATAAAGAGTGCCTTGACTTATTTTACCCTTCCAAAAATGGAGCACTTTCTGCAAGAAACATTTGCTGAAGTTCAAAGAAAGTATGCATCTGCTATCCCTATTCAAGATTTGATTATAATTATGTTTGATTACAACTACCGCTTGGAACTGAAAGTAGTGGTACGATGAAGCTCTGTCTCAAATGTTTAATTCTGCCTTCAACATTCTGGTCCAATCGGCACCTATCAGTGCTTCTCAACAGGGACGCAAAGCTAGATCAACATTCCTCTCTATCACTGCACTCGGATGCAGTTGTAATAATGAAAATATGTAAATGCATGCATAATGTGTGAAGTTAGGGTTAGTGGAGGGACAGGGATTTTTTTCAGAGCTCTCTTGTCTCCACTACTAGATTTAAAAAGTCTAGAGGGTCATACAGTAAATCCCCTTGGTGCCTTTGAATTTCCTGCCAAGACTGTAGTTATTGTCAGGATTAGTCTTATCCCCTAGGGTTGTCCTCTTAAGGTTCTATCCCTCTCCTTTCGCCTTGTTTTCGCTGTCTGCACACATTAACGTACTTGAAGGGTCTTCTCTATATTCAGAAAATCTATTTTCTCTTCTATTTCCTGTGTGTATTGATGTACATTGTTTACATAATTAACATTCTCCAGCTAGATCAAGTTTGTTTCAGAGCGATGTCCTCCTGACCCTTACTGTCACCATAAGCAAACACATTATTTTACTCTTCGCATGATTAAATCCCACAATACACCAAAAGGAAACGGGACATTTGCCATGAAAGTGTGGCTCGAAAAAAAACAATTGTTTTGTCAAATCTTTTTCTTTTTATAAAAAGTCATTTCAGTGGTGCAACTGAAACCTTAGCATCACATTAACACATTGTCCCCCAATACTGTATATCTACATTACATTTTGAACCAACTAAGCCATCACACTATATGTTGATGTCATGTTTGGCATAGAACTTGATCGAACTTTGACACAGGAAGTCGGGCCATTGACCAATAGCAAGTGACAGAGCTTATTGTCAAAGAAATGGGAAGGATGCTATCGTAGCTTACTAGCTAGCTATGATGCTATATTCAGTTAGGATTAAGATTTGTTATGGAAAGAGTAATAGATTGCACGACATTACCATGACAGGAGTTTGTTTCGAATAAACGTAATGGCCCGTCAGCGACCAAACTAGGCTAGCAAACTGAGCATTACCAGATTCGGGAAGCTCAAGTATATTCTTCTATAGCATTTTATTGATTTAATTTGTGTGCACTGTGAACAATATACCATCCAAAGTTCTCTAGGGTTCTTCTATTTATTTCCCCAGAGAACTATTATGAATACAGCTGAAATGGTTCCAGGAGTTTGCTGGTAGATGATATAAAATAGTGGAATTCGTTGCCATAATAGCAACACATTATACAGTTAGGATAAACCTTCTATTGACGAGAAAACCCCACATCTAGGTATTGATTTACACTTTGAAGAAACTTTCCGAAGACCTTTCCACTATATTCTGCCAAAATTCTCTCCATAGAAACATTGCTTTCCATTAATTTCATCCCCCTGTACAGTGTGTATAAATAAATTAAATGAGAGAATCAATCTTTTTGTTTCCTGGAATGTATACACCATATGTAGCCAATGTGGTGGTGGGTTGTGATGAGGATATAGTGTCTGTAACCAGGCTGTTATTATACTCAGTTTTTGTGGGATTTGGAATGGGAGCAGGCAGACGTGGCGTACATTGACTTACACTCGCACAACTCTGTATTTCATTTTCTTACCCCGATTTCTATCATGGGTGATTATATTATGTGCGTTCATGGTCTTGAATTTATCTATTCTTTCCTTTCAACATATATCTGCCCTTTTCTAGCCCTCAACAAACAGAGCTTATCCAGAGCTGTGGCAACACAAATAATTTAAAATATAAAATGTTCTCTTGTTGCAAATAGTTAATAGCATTTCATTGACAATTCACAATACTCGGAAATACACACAAATAGGTCTATTTATAAAATACTTCAGTCTCAGTTTTGTATTCTCCTCCACCGCGGCCTTGAGTAAATCAAGTTGCTGCAAGGAAGGAAGCTTTTCATAGAGAATACGTGCTAATCTTTGTGTTTGTTTGGTTTGGACCAGACCTGGATTTCAACAGTCACATCAAGACAACTCGAAGTCAGCCTGCTATCACTTTAGGAATATATCTGGGATTAAAGGATTTATGTCACAGCGGGACTTGGAAAAACTTGGAACCACCATGCATTTACCTTCAGTAGACTATACTAGACACGGCTGCTGGAGGCCTCACTGACACTGAGAAAGTGAATCACATGAATCCAGTTCGGAGATCTTTACACTGGCTTCATGTCTTTCAAAGACTCTCAGGTGTTCTGCGACAGGTCCGCTTTTTTTGCCCCCAGAGTCAGAACAAAACATGGAGGAGCAGCATTCGATCACTATGCTCCATATATCTGGAACAAAATACAAGAAAACGGCAGGTCCACTGCAACTCACTTCTTTTAAATCCAGACTGAAGACTTTTCTCTTTTGCTGCTGCCATGAAACCATTTGTAAAACGTTTCCCTCTACTACGTTGATGTGGCTGATTTTTTTCATGTCCACCATTCAATTCCTGGCCTCTGTGCCTGTGTTTGTTTTTATTTCCTGGTCCAAGTTTAAATGCAGTCCTTTGTTGTTTACTTAGACGTAGATGTGATGTGGTCATATGCGTGCGAGCGGGCTCGGGTTCATGTATGTCAGAGAGTGCAAAACAATCCGCGAGAAAAAGTAAGTGCTAAAGCTGTGAGTCAGAAAGGATTGTGTTCGTTTTTGAGTGGGTGATGATGTCCCTCTTCACTGGTCACCACTCTTCTCCACTTCAGCCCACACACGCGCACGCACGCACGCACGCACGCACGCACGCACGCACGCACGCACACACACACACACACACACACACACACACACACACACACACACACACACACACACACACACACACACACACACCAACATGAACAGTGCCACACGAAATATCTTTGCAAAGGCTAAATTCTCTCCAGAGGGAGTTTCTCTTCCACACATCCCCCCTCCTGCCTGAAACGCCTTCATCGGACTCCTTTGTTTTACTTCCGTAACAAAAATACCTCACTATGTAACACTCGCGCCCCTATTGGCTATCGTTCCAACACATTGTACTTGATAGGCTAAGGATCAGGACATCTAAGAGGTTGACCAATCAGAATCAGAATACCTTTATCCGTCCAACAGAGAGGGCATTTGTTACAGCAAGAAAAGAGCAAAAGACAGCTTAATATTACCCAAAAATGTTAAAGACAAAAGATTCAAAATAAATTACACTATTTACAAAATGCACATCCTGTAACAGTTGTGAGATATAGCAGCCAGATATATATTGCACAGCTAGACCCTCCAGAAAAACGCGGGCTAAAATCCTTGATTATGCTATTAAACATGCAGGGGTTTTATTTAATTGTATGCGGTGAAGTTGCAAAATATGCGGAAAGTTGCGAAAAATAATAGATTTCTTTTTAAATATTGGGCTGTCTTATTTATTCTCTCTCACACACAACCTGCCACTAACGTTAAACCCCTTTCCTATTCAATTAAACACATTCAATGTTTATTTATTGTAAAAGCACACACACACACACTTCTCCGCCTCATTCTGTTTTCTGTTTTTCGTTATCTGACCAGCTTCAATCTTGTAAGCTACTCACTTCGTTTCTTGTAGCCCTCGAAAGGGTTTTGGAGGTTGATGCCTCGGTGAACGTGAGTTGTTTGGCTTTCTTGTCCGCAACAGCAGAAAGCATTTTCGAATGTTTGAATGAATCAAAGTGGGTCGTCACCGTCGATTTTCTCTTATGCTCCAACACACAGTTGCACGGGGTGCAGAATAGTTTCCCCCCACTTTCGTGCTAGATATCGGGGGTACTGCTTTAGCTCATCGATCAGATTTTTTCATCTTGGTGTGTGAATTCCACACGTTCACATGAAGGTGTTTGCCCTCTGTGATGCGCGGGCTGATGACGTCGCGTCATCATCACTACTCGTCAAGACGAGTTAACTTTGTGTGGAAAAATGGATTATACAGCCTTTTGATAAATATGCGGCCTTTTAAAAATCTGCGCCATTTCGCTGATTATGCGGTAAATTCTGCGATCGCAGAATCGCGTTTTTATGGAGGGTCTACACAGCTACTAACGGCATATACAGTGGGGCAAAAAAGTATTTAGTCAGCCACCAATTGTGCAAGTTCTCCCACTTAAAAAGATGAGAGATGCCTGTAATTTTCATCCTAGGTATACCTCAACTATGAGA